GGGGAGGAAGCGGGGGAGCAAACGAACGAGGGGGGAGTGGGCCAGGGAACCCCCTCCGCTTCCGGGTAGTTGGCGTCACTTCCGGGCGAGCCCCCCAATCGCACGGCGCCCGTAACTCCCCAGCCCTACCCTCCCGGCCAAGATGGCCGCCCTCCTATGCCTCAGCTGCTGGGCGGGGGGCCGGGGGGTTCTCCCCGCCAGGGCTCCCCTTCCCCTCTTCCGTTGACCCCGAAACCCATCAGGTTGACCCCTCGGCGTTTCTGAATCCTGCTGGGCCGAGTGAAGCGGTCCAAAGTGATCCCTGGAGGGGGCAGTGCCAGACGTTTTGGGGTCCCCTTCCTCAGCGTCGCAGCTCACAGCTTTCCTCCTGGAGAAACGCCCCCTAACACCCTCCCGGCTGCTGACGGCGGGGCGGGACCTCTGAGGGAAGGGGCGGAGCTAGTGCAAAGCAGGTGATTGCGTGTCACTTCCGGGAGATAGGATGACCTCATTGTGTAGACACCCCCCCCCACCATCAAAATGGCTGTGTCTCACCTCTTGGGCTGTTTTTTTTCTTTCATTCTTTCAGAAATACCTCTTACTCTTTTCTTGTTTTGAGGGTCTTTAGAAATTACCTAAGTCAGTTTAGATTCCCACACACAACTTAGGGATTCTCACTGATACCTCCTTCCTCTTACCTCTGTTGCCTCCCTGATTTAACTGTCACTGAAAACTTTATCATCTTTTGTAATAAAGTTTCCACAACCCCCTTAAGAAAACTCCAGGCAAAAGTCCAGTTAAAAATCAGCCGGATTGCATCTTGAATGTTGAAGCAAAGATTAGATTGGCATATTGTGACCTTGAATGTATCATCTTCCCCATTGATGTATTTCCATCAACTTTTTTTTTTTTAAGTATGCGATTTTAAAATTCTGTGACCTTCATTTGGAAAATTCAGAACTAGCTAGTGGTTAAGCTGAATCAGTTACTTTCCCAGGCTATTGGAATGTGTGAAGGTTGCCTTTTAGAATTTTTTGGTGCTAAGGCTCTGTCAGTAAACACGGCTTCCTATGGGTAACAATGTTATCAATGTGCTATATCATTAAAGTAGGTGCAGGGTACACTGCTTCATCCTAACTAACAAGTTACAAAAGTGAAGCAGCACTGAATGGATTTGAATTACAATGATCTTCCAGTGAAAGTATATCCGAAGCCATACCCAGCGAGCTACATGGTTACAGTTGTTACCGATCAGGTGAAAGGAACATTCAACATTCCGAAGTTAAAAACAGAAAAAAGTTTCAACACTGCATTTTTCTTACTGACCTTTCTAGATTTTTGTACTCACTCTTCTGATGCTGCCTGCTTCCTCCTTCAGTGAAACCTTCTAATAATGCCGATAACTTTCTCTTAGGTAGTACTTGTATGGGTGGCATTGAAGGTTGTGGAAGAAAAGTGCCTTTGAAATTTTCAGTCATGTTATTTGGATGCCTGATATTTAACTCTATAGCACTTAGTTAAGTTTTGGGAATGGCGGGAAAAGACAAGGATTCCACATTTCAGGACCTAATTTTTCATGAGTATTTATGCCAAGGTAAATAAAAGCTGCAAAGACTTTACAGAAAGTGCCCATCAAGAATTTTTACAGCAGTCATTTGTTTGGGGGGGGAGGGAGGAATAATTCCAAAATCTTTTGGAAACAAGTCACATAGCTGTATCCTTTTATTTCATACTATGACTTAAGCCTCTTGTTACTATGGTAGTAATACTTCTAGCCAGCAGGTAAGGGTTATTTCTGCATGTAGATGAGATTCTGTTTCTTTGCTGAATTTGAATTAATAACACCTGAGAAAGACGGCATAAACGTTCAGCAGGATTGCCCAGGTTTGGATCCCAGTTCCACTAAAATAATGTGAATGATGTGAGCAAGAGACTTAACGTCCTTAAACCTCAATATCCTACATTCTGTGATGGAAATAATAACGTCTTTCTTTGAAAAGTTGTTGGAAAAATTAAAGGTGGTAATCCATTCAAAGTTCTCACCATGACACCTGGTAGATAGTAATAGAGAGTAAGCACTAAGTAAATGATAACTGCTATTATTATTATTATTATTATTGTTATTATTATTGTTGTTGCTATTATGTTTGCATAGTACCAACATATAGCTACTTAAATTGTATCATTCAGATTTCGTATCTCTAGTAAATGAAAGCATTTTTAAATACATCTAGGAAATAGGTACAATTAATTTGTGTTTCAAAATATATTTCCTCCACTTAAGCCAGTGAGGCTTTGAAATGAGATACAAAAGCAAGCATATTTGTGATTCCTATTTCTCTGTACCCTAAAAGAACATAATCTACTAGTGAAATTAGCTAAGTTATACTCACTATATAAGGCTGACAAATGAAATTGTGTCAAAAGTTCTTTCACAATTGAAGTTTCAAGTAGATTTATGGGATTCACAGACTATCAAGTGATTTCAACTTTATATTTGCTGTTTCAACAATTTTATCATTCTGCATTATTTGGAAGTGATACACCGTAGAACCCAGGAGGGTCTAAAATGAAAATCTCTTACAATGATAATACAGCTGTCATGAAACTCACTGAAAGGTTAACATAAATTTGGACTGTGTGATGAATGGTACTTTTTTTTTTAACCTAGAGTTTTGGGACAATTAGGTGTTCCAAGTAAGTTTATCACTTAGCACAGTGCTGAACACATAATGAGCTCTCAATAAATATTGGTTAAATGAATTAATTAGATTAATTTTCCAGATAACTGAAACTTACCCTTTCAAGTGTCCCCCTCAAATTGTAGTTTACATTTTGTGATGTAAATCTTCATAAAACTCATTGATGTGTTACAGAGATACCTCTATTCTTTAATAAATGAGGGGTGTGGGGGAATTAATAAAAAGAAATGCATTCGCATTGTCCAAAGGTCTGCTTTCCTAACAGCACATCAGTTAACCCCTTCCTGATGATCTGACCTTAAGGTAGCCTCATACTAAGAGGCTTTGACATCTATGGGCCTGCTAAGGAGCCACCCCAGGCCTACTAGACATTTTGTTACTGTTGTTGTTTACAAATAACATATTTTTAAAAGTCTCTGCTTTTCATAGTTCAGTCAACTAACACCTTTGACCCCTGTTACTTCCACTCAGATATAGGCTGGGAAGCCAAACCTCAGGGCATGTTGGAATTTCATGTAAAATAATAGTGAGTAGATTTTTAGAGCCTCTTCTATGAGTAAAATAAGACAGATTTAATCTATGGAAATTGTGGCATACATTTTGGCTATTTAGAGAAACCTTTGGGGGTTTTCTTTCCACTTCTCTGCTGTTTTCAGAACAGCAATGGAGAAAGTTAGTATTGAATGCTATTATGTATTAGACACCATTCCAAATATTATTCCATTTAATCTTACAACAGTCCAAAAGGCATGGAGGTTGGTGTCCCCATACTAATGGTCTAGAAAACAGCCTTGAGTCTACCAAATGACTTAGCCAGAACCACACCTGTGGGAGGTAGGGTGCCCGTGGATTAGAGTCCTAGCAGGTTTAATTCTGAAGCCTAAACCATTGCCCTGGGCCAGGCAGTTATTGGCCCTAGAAATGAAGTCAGTGTTACTGTATTAGTCACTGGAGGGACCCAGTTAGGATGCTGTACAAATCTAGGAGACAGAAAGTGTGAATTCCAGCATGGAGATTTGTCCCAGCAAAAGCATCACAAAGGGACTTCCTCACAAGTCTTCACCAGGTTTTCCTAATTTGAGCCCGAGTAAAACCTCAGAACCAGCAGGTTGATGTCATCCCTTTCAATTTTACTCTTTGTTACCTTACTGTCTTCCATAGAAATGGGACTTCTCTGAGCACTGCAGAGGAAGCTCATAGAACCCATTACCCCTTGAAGCTCCATTTCTGTATTTGATGTTAAGAGTTGAAATTTCAGCAGGCACTGTCAGACATTCCTGCTGGTGTTACAAAATGGTACAATTTCTATTGAAGGAAATTTCACACTATCTGTCAAAATTAAAAATGCAATCACCCTCTAAGACAGCAGTCCCTCTTATGGGAGTTTATAAATATGCTTCTGTCAAAAGTTACCTGTGGTCAAGGTTATTCGTGGAGCATTGTTTATAATAAAAAGGGAAAAAATGAAGAAGAAAAGAAAAAACCGAATGTCATTCCAAAGGGAAACTAGTACACAGAATACCACGCAGTGATACTGAAAATTTATAGTTTTCTTTTTAATGATATAGAAAGAGTTGCAGGATATTTTGTCATGCAAAAAGAGCAAGCTTTGCCCTGTCCAGTGTGGCTCGGTTGGGGATTGTCCTGTGCACCGAAAGGTTGCCAGTTAGATTCCCAGTCAGGGCACATGCCCTGGTTTCAACTTCGAGGCCCAGTGGGGGGGGGGCGTGCAGGAGGCAGCCAATCGATGTTTTGATCTCACATCGATGTTTCTCTCTCCTTCTCCCTTTCCCTCTCCCTGTCACTCTCTCTAAAAAAATAAAAATTCATTTAAAAAATCTTTACAAAAAAAAAAAAAAAGAGCAAGGTGCAAAACAGAGCATTTTCTGTGAGAAAGGGGGAGGGTTAAGATGATCTACTCCTATGTGCTTGTATTTGCATAAACAACTCAGGAAAGATACCCAAGAAACAAGGTGATTACCTATAGGGTGGTGGTAGTGGTGGGAGAAATGGTGTAAACACGGGCAGTGATGGGAGGAAGACAGCAAATGTTTGGAAGACGGTTTTGGGGGGGAGGAGTGTGCAGCCACACGCGGGGTGCAGGGGTAGGTAGGAATGAAGGGGTAGGAACATCTGTATTTCTTTCTGGACAGTAACACCACTTGGGAGTAGTTCATAAATGTTTTTGCTCTCTTAAGAACCCTGACATCTGTGAATTAACTTAAACCCTTTCTGCACTTCCTTGTTTTACCCACTATATTGTCTAAGTGAAGGTAATGAGCCCCGTGAGTTAACCCCCACAGAGCAGAGTGCAGCGAATCCATCACACATGCACATAGACTGTGGGGATCAACTATTCACGCTCAGCCAAGGGAAGGTGAAGAGAGAGCAGTTCCAACCAGCTCACACANTCATTAACTAGCTCTAGGATTTCCAGCAAGGTACTTTCTTATTTAAGCCTCAGTTCCTCAACCATAAAAATCAGGAGAATAAAATTTCTCTTAGTGTGATTTGTCATGGTTTAATGAAATAATGTGAACAAAAAATACCTGCTATTGCCTGGCCAGTGTGCCTCAGTGGTCGAGTGTTGACCTAAGAATTGAGAGGTCATGGTTCAATTCCTGGTCAGGGCACATGCCCGGGTTGCAGGCTCGATCCCCAGCAGGGGGGCGTGCAGGAGGCAGCCGATCAATGACTCTCATCATTGATGTTTCTATCTCTCTTCACTCTCCTTTCCTCTCTCTGAAAGCAATAAAAACATTTAAAAAAAAAAAAAAGAAAGAAAGAAAGTACCTGCTACTGAATAGGTGATGGGTGCTAGCCCTTCCCTGCTCATGGTGCCGGATCTTTATGAAAGTCTTCCCCATCCCCAAGCCCCTGGTCCCACATTTTTTCCTGGTTTTCCAGCACTGTGTAGGGTTCTTGTGAACTTTGCCTTTCAAACTAGAAATTGTGTGATGGGACAAGCAATCACACAGCCTTGAGTCTGAGTTCCCTAATCAGCCCCTTACTATGTCACCTGCGCAAGCTACGTCGACTCTCAGATTCATCTTCCTGATGTGTAACGTAGTGAGCATGCTGTCCCCCGCGCGAGCTTATTCCGATATCAGTGCCTGGTGCACAGTAGATGCTAAATAAATATTAGTCCTGCCTCCCCAGTCACTCCCTGTACCTGTTTCCAAGGGCTGCTATAACAAATCACCACAGACTTAGTGGCTTAAAGCAACACAAATTTATTATCTTACAGCTCTGGAGGCCAAAAGTCCACAATGGGCCTCAGTGGGTGTCAAGGTGTCAGCAGGGCCAGGCTCCTGGAGGCTCTAGGGGAGAGCTCCTTTTCTCTTCTAGACATAAAGGCTGCCTGCATTCCTTGGCTAATGTACTCTTCTGTCTTCAAAGCCAGCAATTGCTTCACCTCTGCTTCTGTCATCACATCTCTTCTTGTAGCTATGATGCTCCTTTCTCCCTGTTTCCTTTACAGAAACCCACCCAGATCATCTAGGATAATCTCCCCATCTCAAAATACTTACTTTAAATACACCTGCAATTTCTTTTGCCATGTAAGGTAACATAGTCACAGACTCCAAGAATTAGGGCATAGCTGTATTTCGGGGCTGTTATTCTGCCTACCACTCTATAAATTCTTCCTGGTGGGCAAATCTGAGCTCACCATCCCTGGCCTTCAAGTAGACTCTGTCCAATTTTCTTACCACTGTGATACCAGACCCACTTGGTCATCCCAGACCTCTAGCCAATGACTCACTCACAAACTCCAAGACCAGTGAGCCAGAATGAATTTAAAGAGCACTTTGTGTACAGCTCCCGTGTTACAGACAGACAAAGAAGAAGAAAGTGAGCATAGAAGACAGTCATTTAAAGTCACACTAGTTCACAATAACTCAAGGATTAGGGCTTAAATTTCCTGATATTCAGGCCAGGATATTTAACACTACATGATGTGAATTATGCTGATTCACATACTTTATAAAGTTGCATAGATCATTCATTTTCAGTTTTTGCTGTCTCCTCATTTCTATTTCTTAATAACAGGAACACTGAACTTAAATAGCGAAAGACAAAAAAGTAGTTTGACACCATTTACCAGTTCTATGACTTCAGACAAATCTGAATTGAATCTCAGTTCTCAGGTAGAATAAGAACATTCATATCTGTCCTACCACTCTCCAAGGCTTGTTGTGAGAACCTGTAGGCTTACTGGGTGCTTTATAAGTCATAATGAGATGTAAAAAGTATAAGGAACAGTTTTTATCCCAGTTGAGGCCTCCTACCTAATCTCCCAGACTTTGTTTCCCATCTAGCCTACTTACCCTCATCAGGCTAACAAACCTAAAATACTGTCATACTAGTGTGAGAACAAACAGCTCACTATTGCCTCCTGTACAAAATCCAACCATGCCCTTTAGTTTTCAGATCTATAATCTTGTTCCCAGCCTACATGGCCAAACTTAATATTCACTGTTGGCCAGAACACACCCTCATCAGGAAAATGTCCTCGTTTTCCACACGTATCCAGCTCGTCCCTACACTGGAGCTTCTGATCCTGGTTTTTCTTCATTCACAAAGTCTTTTCTCCTCTTTGTCTGTTATCCAAGTCAAAAGTTCAAGTCAATAAACTTTCAATAAAGGTCTGCTATGGGGAAGGTGTCATAGCTGCAACAGCTCAAAATCACTCTCATCTTTCAATACCTGTTTCAAATCCCACCTTCTTTAGCAAGAAATTCCATAATGACTCCAACACAGAGTGATGTCTTCTGAGATCCAGTAGCATTTAGAATCTCTGCCACATATTCTAATTTATTCAGATGTAGTCTTGCATTCTCTTCATTTGTGTAATGATTTAAAAAAAAAAAAAAATCAAGTCATCAGGAACTGCCATTTTATCTTTTATTTTAAAGAATAAGAATCTGAGATATTTATTGAGTATTACCCAAGGAATCCAGAAGCAAGCAAAGCAAAGTATCTGGAACTCCAAGAGAAGGGTATGGACACATGTCAAGTAGAGGAAATAACATGTGCAGAGGGAGCCACATGAAAGAGAAGTGGGGCTCATGAAACTCACTTGTTTACAGCATTAGTTGCAGGGAGAAGTGTGAATGGAGAGGAGGGTGGTAAGTGTAGACTGAGGCCAATTTTTGAAGATCCATAAACGTCAGGCTTAAGACTCTAAAGTTGATCCTGTAGGCAGTGGGGAAATCAGAGAAGTGACAAAATCAAGTTTGCATTTTAGACAAATAACTGTGATGACAGTGTAGAAGTTAGAACAAAAGTTGACAACAAGTGGGCGTCCTAGGCTGACTAATTAATTGGTGTCTGTATAAACCAGCATCTTGTGGTTCAACACTCATTAGTGGAGACAGGGAGGAACTAATATTCTTTTGATAAAAATCATATTCTGAAACAGATGAGATTTTCCTAGCCCAACAGAATAAATTATCTTTTTAAAAATTGGCGAAATAGTTCTTTCATTTATATAGTTCTCCTTCACTCATAGTTCTATTTTATGATTTTCTAAACTAAAGCACTTTAGGGGAACATATTAAAGAATTTAAAATTTAGATACTAAAATTAGTCACTCCTTCCAAATAGTCAGCATTACACAAAGCATTATTTGGTTTTAAAATTTCAGCAGAATGCCAACTTTCAGTTAATTATAATCACACATAATCTTTGGGAAGAAATTTTAGCAAAATATATCTGCCTGACTAGATTTTTTTTTTTCCTGCTCCAAAGCGCTGTCTACTTAGGCATATGTACAGACAGACCCTAAGATGACCCTCAATGATTCCACTCTGAGTGTTCACACTTTTGTGTAATCCCTTCCCTTTGAGTGTGGAGGAAATGTCACTTGATTCTAACCCACAGAATATGGAGGAGGGAGGAGGTGACATGATGTCTCTGATCTGGATTACATTACATTATATAAGGCTCCATCTTAGCAGGCTGGAGCTGGAGACTCTCCAATGGGCTGGATGTAACCAATAGCCACATTGAAGAAGCCCATGTGGCAAGGTGAACCCTAGGATTGGGGTCTCCTGCCAATAACGAGCAGGAAGCCAGGACCTTCAGTGATATAAACACAAAGGAATGAATTCTGCCAACATGAATGAGCTTGGTAGTGGGTTCTTCCCCAGTCGAGCCTCCAGTTGAGAACCCAGTCCATCCAAAACCTTGATTACAGCAGTCTGAGAGCTGAGCAGAGGACCCAGCCAAGCTGTGGAAGCAGAGGACCCCAGCCCCACAGAAACTGTGAGATAGCACTTTCACCCAAGGTTGAACCAGCAACTGGATGAAGGGGCAGGCCAGCAGGGCAGCTATGGGTGGAGGGATTCAGTAGTCTATAAGACGTATGAAAATATTTGAATCAATTAGAAATATGGTGGCAAGTAATTGAATTTTCATGCAACTCTAAATAATTAGCATAATGTGAATGGATTCTATTTATATGCTGCACTAGTTTTCTACTGTTCCATAATAAATTACCTCAAACTGAGCACTTAAAACAATATACACTTACTATCTCACAGTTTCTGTGGGGCTGGTTCAACCTTGGGTGAAAGTGGAAACAGAAAGACAAATGAGGAGGCTTTGTCATGGTCTAAATGGCTCCTCAGGGTTTGGGCCACAGCAGTGGCATCTGGGAAGAAGAAGCGACAGATGCAAGAAACAACTCAGAGTCTTATTTTATATTTTGACAAAAGAATTACCCGCTGCATCCATAGTACTGTACAGTTGTAATTGAAGCTCATAATAATGACCCTAAGGCAGAATTCGTAGGCATCAAAGAAACACTAAGTGAAATACAGGAGCTTCAAGAGTATTTTTAACATTCTAGTTCTTGAGAGGTGGGTGCACAAGTATTCATTTTATTGTTATGATTTGTCATATAAGTTCTTTTGTATATATCAGCGCACAATTGAAAATATAAATAAACATTAAGATCAGCCTAACATACTTCTTAATTGTTAATTGATTTCTATTACCTACAAGAAAAGGATTGTGCTATTTGAAGGAGCAGAATGCCAGTGAAGCACAAACTCTGCTAACCAGAATATCACACTCCCCAAGGATATAAATCATTGAGATTGTTTTCGTTGCCCATCTTTTGTAGCATAGGTATAATGAGAAAAGGAAAGAGTATGAAGGCAAACAAACCAGGATAAGAAGACAGAAAAGGAAAGAACAACTGAGAAATTCCTTTTTGTATTGCTGAAAAGGGGAAGAGAAAGATCTGGGATGAAGAAAGGCCAAGCTTGGTGGGAGGAGCAGAGAGGAGAGAAAACACAGTATTATATATAACAGAGACAAAAGTAATTTACACTGCATGCAAATTAGGGACTGTGAGGCTGAGTCAAGCACAGAGTGGGCTTTGGGGCCCACTCATGAGCTCTTTTAGACACACAACTTCAGACACAGCGGCCACGAAGTACATGCACAGCAACTGTCAGTAGCATTTCCTGCTATATACAGCCTAGAGCTTCTTCGTCATTGCAATATTTCCAGCCAACCTTCATGGGGCAAAGTAATATGCTCGGTGCGATGCTAGATACAAGATTGAATAAGGCACAGTACTATCGTCCCGGGACCCTCAGATTGGGGGTGGGGGGGGCGGTCAGAAGAGAGGCACTTAGACTTGCTAAGGCAGGAATTCACATTGGTGGCCTCAGAGGGGAATTGGGCTGGCTGATATGTTTTATTGGGCCACTACTGTGTGCCTGTGTGTGTGTGTGTGTGTGTGTGTGTGTGTGTGTGTGTGTGTGTCTCTGAGAGCCTTTAAGCACCCTCCATTCTGACCTAGTTCCCACCATTCCCAAAAGCCTCATCATGACAGCTCACACATTACCCAGCTGCTTGGTCTTTGCAGGCATGTGAGTTCACATCCCTCTCGTATAAGTGGATATGTTTGATTGGGTTTTTCTCATCTTTCTATCACTTTTTCACATAATAATGGCTAACATGATAATATTCCCTCCTAGATCAAACAAGTCCTTGCTAAACTAACCAGTGCCACTTCCAGGTTCTGTGCTTTCACTTTGCTAACACTGTGTTTGCCTTTGTTCCCGGAACTATGCACTAGACTGATAGTTTTAATGATTTTTCAAGAATAATCCCTAAATTCTTTTCTTGATCTGTGAGTTAGAGGGTTATTTTCTGCCTAGACACATCACTAGACTGGCCTCCTTGCTCCCCAATTAATTATTAGTTTGTCTACATTAAATTACACTTGCCATCTGCTGATAAAATCACAAAACTCTGTGAGCCTTTTCCATTGCTTTCCCTGTTTATTGCTCGTTCCTTCTGCCTCCTAGCAGCTGAAGCAGCTGCAAACTGGGGGATTTGGTTTCTAATTCCTTCTCCCAAGTCTCTTTTCCATAGTGGAATTTCTTTGTGACAATTTCCTATAGGGGGAAAAAATACACACACACACACACACACACACACACAGATATGTATATATTTTATATACATATGGTTTTGAGCATTTAACTCAAATTCAGTATAACTAAGCTTCCTGGAAAGAATAAAGAAGTAAGAAATGTACTTAGGTGATTTCGAACAACTTCAAAAGGGTCATAAAATAATGAGTTCTAAGAGAGATACATAAAAAAGAATGAATAATAAATACTAGAAATAAAAAGAGGTTCCTCAAAATATAATGTAGAAAAATCAGCATGAAACAAAATAGCACTGGTAGTAAGTTTAAATCACAGAGCTCAAATTTAGGTGTGCAAGAAATGAGGTGTTATTTTTCCATTAAACAAATGAATTTGTATTTCAAGCCCTAATCCCACAAGATTGGCAAGCTCTCCACTTCAGCCATCCTGCAGTGGTCCTCCCCAGGATGTGATAAGGTTCTTAGGTCTCACATAGGATCGATGCCTGTGTATTAGTTTGCTCAGGCTGCCATAACAAAATGCCACAGATTGTGTGGCTTAAACAACAAAATTTATTTTCTCCCAGTTCTGGAGGCTAAATGTTCAAGATCAAGGTGGCAGCAAGTTGGTTTTTCCCTGAGGCCTCCCTGCTTGGCTTGGCTTTTCCCTGTCTTCACAGGTCTTCCCTCTGTGTGTCTGTGTCCTAATCTCCTCTTATAGAGATACCAGTAAAACTAGATTTAGGCCTACCCATATGACTTCATTGTAACTAAATCACCTCTTTAAAGACCTTACCTCCAAATTCAGTCACCTTCTAAGGTACTGGGGATTAGGTTCCAACATATGAATTGAGCAGTGGGGAGCTCAATTTAGCCCATAACAGCCTAGAACAGGGGAACTTCTGGCCATCAGCCAGTGTTTCACACAGAGATAAGAGAGCTACCTCTGAACATGGGGTCCCTGTCCATTCAGGCCAACTGCTTTCTGCTGCTTTTAACAGTGTTGGGGTATCAAGATGGGTCTATAGGCCTAGGATCCACTGTAATCCCATGTCCTGAGCACATCTTGCACCATTTGAGACCGCCCGCCACACCACCACCCTACACCCTAGAGAATTACAATGACCTCTGCTGTTCCAACACCCCCAGTCCTCACTTCTGTCATCCAAATGGGAAATTTTTCTTTTTGGTTTTGGGAAGACCCTGGAAGATTCTATTTCTTGTCTGCCACTCCCTTCCCTAAGGTGATGAAGCATCTGCTTAAATTTAGAGAAACAAAAATGTGCAAAAACTTAATTAGGGTCTCACACTACTCTTTGGTTACGTATGACTAATATATGTGTCCATGAGTGTTTGTGCTTTTTCCAATTCCAGTGTTCAAAGAGTTCCATTTAATATTTTATAATTATATGACTTTTTTCATAAATGGGAGGTATTATCAACAAATATAATGACAACAAATATTTATTGAGTACCTATATTAAACTTTACATTGGGGACCATGGCTTTTTTTTTTTTTTTTTATCTTGGGGTATAAAACACAAAAATGAAACAAAAACCTGCACATGATAATGACTGCACGGGAATGTCCCTCTTTTAAACATACATGTTTTTTCTGTATTTTTTTAAAGAAAAGTGGGGGATACATGTTCTTATTTAAAAACTTGAAAAACACGAAGTGAAAATCACCTGTAACCCTGTCACCCAGAATTGACCCATTACGTTTTAGATCTTTAGTATACATTTTGACAGGCTTTTTAAACAGTTGTTGCTCATTTGTTTAGTCATCAATTATGAATTAGAT